CGATCTATGACTGGATAGGGAGAAGATAGTTACTAACGCAGATGGCTAGACATGCAGGAAAGTGGCATAGATATCTTAGCCAGATTACATCAAACAAGCAAGTGAAGAAGGGAAAGAGGTTGATGTCCAACAAATATTTTAAGGAAAAGTAAACCGAACGGCTAAAAGGTAAAATGTTTGGTTCCAACGTGGAGAATGTAAAAAACAAGACCCGAAGAATATATTCGAGTTGGCAACGGGAGATTAAATCTTTCTGGTTACAAAAAAGACAAGCATAAAAGACCGGAAATTAAGAGGAATACAGAATTTAATCAATAAGTGTCCAACTGAAATTTGCAAAAATAACACCACTAAGGTCTATCTTGGAGGGCATCTGTTGAGACATTCTCCTAAGATAAGTGATAGGGATTAAACTAAACAGAATAAATAAGTGAAATCATGGAAAGCACCGATGAATATATGCTGGGCCACGCAGCTATTGATGGTAGAACATACCGGTATGACATCAGTCTAGGTGTAGACTAATGGTATGCGTCCAAACCACGGATACTGTGTTTGTTAACGAAAATATGTATACATATGCAAATAACTTGCCATATTTTCGCATAAGTACAAACCATATCACTTATACAAAGCCTCCTCAGAAGCCAACAACCAATTCTTAACATCAGCCATCTGAGGGAGCCACTCGAAGTTAGGATTCAAAAGATGTTCCTCAAGTACAAAGGAGGCCTGAAAGAAGTGACTCACAAACAGAGACAAAATAGGAAGAAACATTAAAAGAAAGCTCGGTGAGACGTTTGGTTTACAGGCCAAAACGGATGCATGTATTTTCAAACCTTTTATGTATACATACGGGTTCTTTGCTCCATCATGACAAAGGGGAAAATTCTTTGTGCAAGAGAGATCATGTAGGTTTAGCTGATATAAATATGCATTGCGGTATCAAACCTGTTATCCAGGAAAGAATTGTGCCTAAAGGAGAAAATCGTCTGTTTTTCTGGGCTGCACCCTCAATATCACAATTACACAAATAAATATTATCGTAAGGGCTGTAATCGACACCAAAAGTAAAAAGAACCGCAATATTAACGGAAGTGTGCGTTTTGGTTGTGCACACATGAACGCTATACCATGTTCCCGGCCTAAGCGAAGTGTTGATCAATTACGGCGTAGCCGGCATAGCTACGGCCAATGTTCATTCGTCCAGTCAGAAGTGTCCAGGTATTTGTGGTTGGGTCGTAGCATTCCATCGTGCAGAGATTGAAAGAGCCATCGTCCCCTCCGATCACATAAAGGAAGCCTTCATATGATAAAAGTCCTAAAAATAAGATAAACCGATATGTAGTTGAATGATGGGACTCGAATAAGATTTTTCGCCTAGCGGTGACATCTCAGCTAGTTGTTTTCTAGCCCAGAAGTTGGAATAAAAGTGATCCAGCATACCTATCATATTTGTAAAAGCCGGGTGGAATGAATTCCCAAAAGTATGGAGAAGAGTGTAAAAAACGAAATGATCACATAGATACGAAAGTAAGCTGCGTTTGTAAGAATTCTTCAAGAGATCGTTGTTAGCGTACTTTACAGTT